CTGTGTAGAAAAGGGAAGGTCTACTTTGCAATCTCAGCTAAAAATATTTTAACACAACTAGAGCTTATTTTTATCATGCTTCATTTTCCATAGCTTTTTATTCAAGCCTTATCTTTTCTTTAAATAGAGGCTTTCAACTAAGAGGATCCTAAATACTTCTTGCAGGAGTATTTTGGCAGCTTTTCACCATTGTCTCGTCACAGAAATTGAAGAAAAACCTTGTTTACAGTGAACTAGGAAGCTGTAGTGCAACCATTACACCACCAGCTGTGCAGTCGCCATACATAGCACTGCGATTGCTCAGATGACTTTGAAAATCTCTTGAGCTTCCTTCTGTGTCAGAGGGGTCACTGTTTGTTGGGCTTTTTTCCTAATTGATTACATCTGCCTTTCTTTCATCTCCAGAACTATAAAGCCACAGTTTTAAACTTCCATTTTTAACTCTAGACCTGATTCAAAAATGTCTAGGGGTTTTGCATCTCGCTTTGCCTTCGCTGAGGGTTTGGGGGCTTTAAAACTTCTGGAAGACAACAGTAGGTTAATGTGGAAGGTTTCTTGTGTAGGTATGAAATCAGACCCCTTACCTTGAGGCTTCCGTACTTAAAAATGTTCTATTTTACTTGCAGCTTTCTGGTATTGATGTTGTGTTAGACTGTGCATGAACTGCTGACTGAATGTTTCAAAACAGTCTATGAAAGCTTGAGATGAGAAGAATCGAGTGAAGCTGAAGGTGAAATGGGGCAGTGCTGAGCTTTTTTAAATATTTCAAATAATTCAATTGCTTGAGCAGCCAGCCCTAGGTTTGGGACGGCACAGGTTGAGAAGGAAGCTTATCAAATTTCAGAGCCTATTCAAAATTCTCTTTCAGTTCGGTGTGGGAGGGGGGTAAGGACCAACCCTGTGAGTTTAGATGTTCTCTCATCCAAGATGGCAAATGTGATAATGTGCTCCAAAGTATCTTCTGTGACAGGGCTGAGTGCCTCCCTCTGATTCTGCCTGCAGGAGGAAATTACTTCAAGCAACCTTTCCCCAGTCAATCATTTATCTGGTGGAAGGGGTGAGAAGGCAGCCTTGGAGAAACAACTAAAACTGTTAGATCTCCTTTTTCCCTCCCTTTTGTTTCTGTCAGTGATCCCTGACATTTTAAAACCAGAGGTGATAAATAACTGCAAGGTGACTTGCAGGTTGGCTGTATTTACAAAAGCATATGGGTTTTTTTGTTGTTGTTTGGTAGCTGGTGGTACAAATTGAAGTAATTTCAAGGCATTAGCTATAGAAATATCTCCTCCATGATTTCTCTCCCAGAGAGCTCCATAGGTGCAGTAAGAAGGGGGTAATTGAAGTATTGAGACTTGGTATGGTAGAACAGAAATAGTTTGCTTGTAGCTATTGGGCCGGAAGACCTCGGCCCACAGCACTACAGTCAGTGTAGTGCTTCATAGAATGAGGTAAGAGGCCATGGAAATCTTTCTTGTTTCCTTGCACCATGAGGCATGAAATCTGATTAGTCTTGTCCTCTTACAATTGTGATTTACGGTCCTAAAGCTGGCAGTATATTCCCAAAAGACCACCTGTATCCATGAGATACAGTGAGTGAGAGTATGCTGAAAAGGGCTTTCCGAACTCCTCAGAAACTGCTCTGGCAAGAGTACAGGATGGTTCAGGCAGAGCTCATTGGCCTAAATAAGTGAAATCCAGTGTCCTTAAACACCAACTTCTGATTAAATTGTAAGTGCCCAATGAAAGCATCATCCTAAAATGTATATGTACCCCGTATAGGAAAAGGTACTACAATTGCCTGTGGCAGAGAATACAAGCATCTGAGAAGAACAGCTTTTCTGAATACCTAAATTATATATGCAAGTTCAGAGATTGAGTTAAGTGGACTGAATCCTATGATATAGGCTTATCTCCCGTCCAGTGTGGCAGTCCAGTCATGAAGGAAAAAATCTCATGATTCACACATAATAAAATATATGTGCATGCATCATAAATTTACATATTTTGTGTGCAAGTGTCCAGGTTTGGTAGCTGAAAAAAATGACCCTTGAATGTGAATACATGTAGAAATGTATGCAAAGATGGTTAAATTCGCTAGCATTTAATTGGGGTACTTGATGGTAACAACTGAAGGTCTAGGTTTTCAAATAATTTGGAAATAAGGTTGTCTACTGAATTTTTAGCATGATTATTGAGGCAAATTGGGTATTTACTGTGCAAATGGCCACTGTCCAGTGGTGGGAAATGGCCTGTCAACTGGAGATAACAAGGGGACCTAACCTTGTACCCTCTGGCTGGCAAACCATAATTAAAATGCAGTCCTGTATTCTCTGTGGAATGCTGTTTCCAAATGCTCATATTCAAGCCACATAACCTCATTCATCAGGCATTCCCCTCACCCAGAGAACAAGTTTCTTTCAAATCGGTAGCTCCCTGTATGTCACATCACAGAGATCTGCTACAAAGGTCTGTTCACCCCACGACAAAGGCAGTGTGATCCACGCAAATGGATTTGGGCTGAGGAACAAGGAGGAAGGTTTTGCGATAGTGTTGGACACTGAAAGTCCCCAACAGCTGAGCTTTGTTGTTAAAAAGAGAAAAAGCTTAAGAGAGGGAAGAGAGAGTCTGCTTTATCTTGAGAGGAGTGCAGCTTTATTTCTCTGCTGATTCACATTTCTTTTGAGACCTGCTAATTGCAACATCTCTCAGTAAGTTACTTACAGCAGTACTGCTGGGTAGAAATTGTGATAAATGCATAAACTGTGTCTTATTGATTTTTGTTGACATTTTACATGCTTCTTACGAATTCTAAGCCTCCATTCAGTAATTGTCACACACTCCTGGATAATGAGAGCGAAAGAAGTGAATGAAGCAGTTTCTTGACCATTATAAACAATATTATTCAAGGCTCTGTATGGGGTTTCTTGCCTGCCCTCCAGTATATCTCCATTTGTGCTCATCCCCCATTGAATTTGCAAGACGGGAAATGAAAATCCTTGGTGTTATTTCCTCTGTTAATGATAATAACAGAAATGTTTTTAAGAGAGATTACTTTGAGACTGATGGTAAATTTGGGCCTCTTTAATTTTAGTGCACAGCAGCAATATGGAATCTGGTGGAGGTACAGTAGTTTATTTACCCTTCTACTGCACATTTTGTCTAGATTGCCATACAGAAAGTTGTTTTGTTACATCATTTTCTTTGATAGAAATTTGTTGCTGAATAAGAATAGTATAGCAACACGTAGTGTGGCCAAACAGCAGAAAGACATCATCAGCTGTTACGTTATCTAAGAAATAAGTAGAGTCACAACATCGCCATGAAGTTTGCATAAAAGAATTCCAACTTCTTATTTTGTGATGCTCACTTATCAGCCAGAGGTACATAAGCCAGTTTAGGTTCTCTTGTATCAAGGGCCTTTACATTAAAAGGAAAAAAAAAAAAAAAAAAGCGCATGATGCAAAAATGCATTGACTTTATCTTCATGACTAGATGTAGTGCTTTTGGGTAATGATCAGGCATTGCTTTCTCTTACTGTTGTTTGATTAAAATGTGAATACAGTCTTGACTTGATAATCTTACCAGGTACACATGGAGCAAAAAAGAAAAGGTATTTTATGCCTCAAATTGATTTGCATAAACCAAACAATCTGTTGCTTGTTGGATTGCAAAATGGTTTATTTTGCCCATTGGCCACAGGGGCAACAATATTGTATTTTTGATGCCAGAAAGTAGCTTTCATGCATTAGCTCTAAAATGACAATATGCTTTAGCCTCTCAGTGCTTAGATTTGCTTCATTTGGAAATCTTTTAAGTAGTAATAATAATAATGTTTTGAGGAAATTGAGTGGAACACTAAATTATTCTCTGAAACCTAAGTTCAAACTGTGCAAGGCTAAGGGAGCTGAAAATCAATGCACTTTTAAAGTCATTAGAGATCACAAGTGAAATAAGTCTGTGTTGCTTTAGCTAAGCTTTTAGTGTGCCATGGTATTATTACGAAATCAGCCTGAATCTGCATTAATTTCACAGTCTTTTTCTTTAAGATGCCCAAGGGTGCATGAAGAATAAAATGTAAATCTCAGAAGGCAATGTTTTTATTAGTCAAAAGGGCAGTGAGTCACGCACTAAAAAAGTTGACCTGTACAATGCCCAGTGTAGGTATGACTGACAATAGTGAAAGGGTGGAAAAATAGCCCAGGCATTTGCCTACTGGCTTTTCATAACAATTTAAAAGGCTGAGGAGGGAAAGAAGTGATTTTTCAGTTATTGATGCACATAGCTTCAGAATTGTTCAAGTTGATGGTAGCTTTCATATATCAAAGAGTTATATTTGTACCTAGGACTTGGAGAAACAAAAGTCATAAAGATGTTTATTTTTAATATGTTATTTTCTTAAATGTTGAGTTTCCACTTACATTACTGAATTTTGTCTGAGTCTTTTCACACTTAGTCACAGGCTACACAGTGGAGTTTTTCACATCCTTATTTGTATGGTTGTTCTTGGTGCATCACGGAACTATGTGACATTATGGACTCTTATTAAATTCCCAGTTCAGCTGCCAGTGATGCCAGTCATTTATTCGCTATCCACAATTTACCTGCACAAAAGCCATAGCAAGCAATTGTTAATGCATGGTCTCAATAGACTAAAATATGCAATCCAAAGTCTAAATAAAAGCCTTACTTATTTCAAACCCTGTGGCTAAAGAACAAAAACAAGAAAAGGAAAAAAATAAATAAAAGAAAAAGAAAAATTGAAGGAAAAAACTCTTTCTTCTCACCTATCCCCACCTAATTTTTTTTTCTTTCATCTATGGTCAGATTAGCAAGTCAGCACTGTCAATAAATAAACTAGAGAAGTTGTTTATTTTTATGTACTACTGAGAACAGTGTCGTCTTGTGGCCGTTCTCGTAGACTGTGTTGGTTTAACAAGCGTCCAACCCTTTTGTCTTGTTGTTTTTTGTCTTTCCTGCTCCCTGTCCCCTTGTTCCCACAGGCTGTGCGTTTGTCACATTTTCTACAAGGGCAATGGCACAGAATGCAATCAAAGCCATGCACCAGTCTCAGACCATGGAGGTACAGTACTGTATCATTTGCCCTTTCTTTGTTTTCTTTGTGCAAATGATTGCGAATGGTAAAGCCATGCTCTCCCGGATCAAACCAGACACATGACAATCACAGATTTAAACTTTTTACCAACTCACTCTACCTGTCTTTGTGAAGCTTATTTTTCTTAATGACCTGAAAGTGCACAATAAGGTTGCTGGGTGGTATCCAAACATGGCTCTTGATCCTGTTTTCAGTGGCTTTCAGCAGAAAATAAAAATGCTGTGAATACCGCTCCTCGGTCATACTCAGAATATATCTGATGAGTAAATTATCTTTAATTTTAACACACATAACCCCAAAGAAAAATCTTAGTTCCTTTTAAATAGATTTTTAAGTGTTACGGTTTGCGCTGCTCTGAGAAAACTCAAGAGACTTAACCTGGCCACGCTGAGTTACTAGTGCATGTGTTTTTCTGCAAATAGAATCTCTTTTTAACTTAATATAATTTCTCCTTCTTCATGTAGCCAATAAAAATGCTAATGATGACAGAGCATATCAAAGTGTGGCACTTCCTGCAGAGGACCATCGTGACTGGCCCTTCACAAGCAACGCTCTTTATTTCCTTCCAAACTGCCTCTACGGCTTCGTATTTTATCACGATGAGTAACACAAAACTTTAAACCTGTTAACTTAATGTGAATATAGCTGCAGGCTAACGATCCGTTCATTGAGTGGTTATCAAATGCCACAGCTTGTCTGGCAATCTCAAAACTTTTTTCAGTCTGTGATTTTTGTCATGGTCTTTCAGAATTTTGCACAAAAAACCGCACAAGTATGAAGTCTTTACTTACTCTGGATCTTCTAGCTTATCATTGGAGAGTGCATGTTATACTGTATTATGTATACTGTATCTTCGTGTAGTGATGATTTTTCTCAGAGGTGGCATTGATGTTATGTGCACTTGTTTCTTTTTTTATTTATTTTTTCACCAGAACCTTTCAATTATTATTTTTTTTTCTCAGTGATTTTTCTTTGCAATGCTCTAGTCTCCCAAAGCATGCTGGGTGCTGAACAATCATTATTGCGTCATGTCGTTGAGCTGCTTTGTGTAACACACCAAGGCGGGAGACCAAGGGTGGGAGGGTGGACAGAGAAGAAGAAGGAGAAGATAATAATCAAGCCAGTGCATGAAAATGTCACTAACTGTTTCCTGTATACTACAAGTAATGATATCAGCATTGCAAAGTTATTTGTCTTTCCACACATCATGTTTGAATTTGGTTGAGCTTCTTTTATAATCGATGTGTTTTCTTTTCAGTGCAATGCATTTTTAGACCCTGAGTATACAGTTTTAGATGAGAATCTGCCAATGAGATGAGAATAATTGGAATGATCTTTACTAGAAAGCTGCTGTTATACAATCTATGCAGTCTGACAGTATATTGGGAAAAAACTGCCACTTTGAGTCTCTGAAATAATAGTCGTAGTAATTTGTCTGCCATGCACTGCTCCATTAATTCAGATCTATATGTTTTGCTGGGTTTGATTCCAAGGAAAAAGGAAATGTTTATTGGCAATACTGTGCTTTGCCTATATTTTCTATGTGTTTTAATGTATTTTTCTGTCTAGCAAAATGAATTTTACACAGCTCTACCTCAGAAGATGGTAAAATTAACGAGATAATACCTCCCAGACAAATTCTCCTGTTCAGTTCTATGCAGTACTTCAAATGAGTCTGTGTTTTGATGTGATACTCCTGTTGACATTAGTTCTATAGAATAGTTACTCTTGGATCAAAATATTTCTGAACATCTTTAGAGGCATCATCAGTGAGGTCCCCAAATTGGCAAGGCGATTCCACATATTTTGCACTTTGAACATCTGGGTCTTTGTGTCAGTTGAGCTTAGGCTGAGAGTCCCTTCTTGGAGAGAAGCAGTACACCCTCCAGCTCCATAGGTGAGGGACTCAATAGAGTCTGTACCTACTGTCTTGACAACAGAAAGAAAAGTATGAAGGCAGCACCATCTGTTGGGAAAAAAATGGCACTAAATGGGGTAGAGACACCAAACCACTGAATGAGGAAGGGAGGTGCACCTTGTGTATGTGCTGGGAGCTTCCTCTCAAGAGAGAAAATGGAAGAGCCTAAAAGAGAAACCACCCTTTATGCAAAAAATTTTTTCCTGCTTTTGCAAATACTCTTCGAGTAAAAAGTTAACTTGGGTTAGCTAGTGTTAAATCTTAACTCTCAGCCTGAAACAGTGGTCCTTGGACACTTTTATTTCATGGTATTCAGCAAACAAAAGTGGGCTTGCTGGACAATATGTAGTACACAATTATGTTTCAACCCAATTACTGCAGAGGTTTTTTTCTGGCTTCATTATTTTCAGTTCTTTGGCACACATCATTGACCTAGGTGAATTTTCAAAGTGGGCTAAGAAAGAACAATAAGGATGTTAATGTCCAGATGAACACGTCTCCCAGAATAATGAATTCTCTTACTGCTCTTTCCGCCTGACTTTCTGACCTGGTTAAATCAACTGATTTTAAAAACATGATCATTGCTCTAGAGTTTTTGCTCTTCTATCTCATTTCTGTGGAGTTTTTTGTTTATTTAAGGCATTCAAATGCAGCACCACTGGAAGACACTAATTTGTTATCATGGAGTAAATTTGATGCAACAATAACAACCCTTTTCTCATATAGAGCCACTCGCTACATATAATTTCAGTCTTCAGAATGTTTGCTTTCTTGAAAATGATGAAGTGATGAAATATAGAGCAGACAGTGAAAAAATGAATTATAGATTCATAAATTGTAGAGATATTGTTTTATATAATTTACTGACATTTAAACATTCATAAATATGATGTCAGCTGTAGTGTTGAGTGCTGAGCTGCTGAACTGAGAACTGAAATAGCCATATAATATTTATTCCCTTGAAATTAATTTCTGTTTCTTTGGAAATAAACTTGATTTTCCTGTACATCTAGGTAGAAGGCAGTAAGTTCTGGTTGTTCTTAGCCCAGTGCTACCAAACCTCATATTAAACAGAAACAGCTTGATTTTTTATTAGCAAAACCTGAAAAATCTCTCTCACAACCTCCATCTCCTGGATCTTTTTTCTTTCTTTTTTTTTTTAAAAAAAAAAAAAAGGGTCTTGCTTTTAATATTAGTATAAAAATCACTAGAGAAAGGTAATTACGTAAAAAGCTGACTCCTTCCTAATCTTTATTTGATTGCTGGAGTGGTACATATCTCCTTTATTCCTCACTGAAACACTGAAAGTCATTTTTACAATGAAACACACAGGAAAGGAGTTGGAGGTAGAATAATAAATCATAAGTGATCATTTTCTAAGATCATTCTAAAGGAACAGTATTAAAGGGAGATCTTCATACAAGAGATATTATTATTGTGGTTTATTTCATCATTTCGTCTCTTGATTGTGAATATTCTTATCATTTGTCCTGGTGTGAGGTTCTCCAGAGAAAAGGTACATGGCTGCTTTTTGTAAATAATAGAGGACAGGCACTTTTCTAAAGATGTTCACAGTGTTGTGAGAGCAGTCATGGGAAGAGATAGGTTAAGTATAACCCTGCTGCACATACTACACTATACACTTTGGCTAAAGTGCTGCTTTGTTTTTTGGACTTGAGTCGCCTTGCACTCCTACCATTGTGTTCAGAGTGAAGTTAGACAAGAAATTAGTATAACAAAGCATGGTGGCTGGAGGGAAGCTATTTGTTAGATCCTATGAAGTTGGAAAACAGTATGAAATGGATTGACAGTTTCTATGACTCACAAAATGCTTGAATTAATTTGAAGAATTTAAGCATTGCAGTATATAGTTTCCTCCCTTGAGTTGAGAAAATGAAGACTTGAAAGGTTAAAATATGAAAACATTTGTTAGCAGGGAAAAAAATATAAAAGAATGAGAGCAACGGAGACATCTTTCATATTCACGTCTCGTTCTCTCAGTGACTTTGCCCAAGAATACCCATCCTTGAAGTCCAAGGGAAATATCCAGCTTACCTCAAAAGTCCATCTGGTCTATGACCTCTTACTTTTCTCAAGGGTCCCTCAGACATGGGTGAGGACTGGGCTGCTGACCACATCTCTAGTTCTTTCTTACAGCCTCCGTGTTTCCTAAGGTGTCTTACAACCATCCCATATCATGTAGCAAGAGGCTTATAGAAGAAATAGGAGAAATTATGGGAATCAGGAATGGGCTACTATCACCAGAACTAGTCACTTTTGGTCTGCATCCTGCCCTTTGTTCACATCTCAAGGGTGCTTGCTACAAAGCATGCCTGGGAGTGGGCCACACATGGGTGAATTGTCCTAGAAGCATCACGCTTTGTGCTCACTTCAGACTGGATGTCCTTGATATGAAAAGGACCAGTGACCCACTGATGATGGGCTCTGAAGTAAATCTGTTGCTCACAGTCTATTTACGTAGGGTATACAAGCCAGCTGCACCAAGCATGATTGCCCAGCCAGTCTGTGGTGGCAGGGTGGTGTTGGCTGTGTGGTCCCTGGCAGCAGGGAGGTTGGACACCTCTCCCTTTGGCAATGCATTGAAAACAGACTGCAGACAAAGCATCACGTCCATCTCATCAGCTGTGAAGCTTAATTAAAGAGGACTGGTACACTTTGCTGTCTCTGGCAGCAATTTTGATAGCTGTGAGGAAAAGAGGGCCTGAGGAAAGGTGCTTTGTAAAAAGAACTGGGGAATCAATAATTTCTCCATAGCCTCTTTTCCGAAGAATCTTAGGCCTTGCAGCCCTACATGTGCCTATCACAAAGAGAGGGTGAGCAATCAGGTCGCGCCATTGCTGGTGGCCCTATGGGACATGGCTGAGCTCACAATGTGAAGGTGGCTTGGTGTGATTTAACGCTTCTGTCTTTCCTGATCTGTCTAACCACAGGGCTGCTCTTCGCCAATCGTGGTGAAGTTTGCCGATACCCAAAAGGACAAGGAGCAGCGACGTTTGCAGCAGCAGTTGGCACAGCAGATGCAACAGCTCAATACTGCCACTTGGGGAAACCTCACAGGTCTTGGAGGACTCACACCACAATATCTAGCTGTAAGTTCATTTCAGAGGTGGTTGCTATATTATACTGTATTTCTTTTAGAACTGTGGTAAATCAGCTATAGTAAACTCCCGTCAAAAGATTGCTAAGTCTTCCGGGATACGTAGCATGTCTTTTTCGACATAAAAAACTCTGTATGTTTATCACATAGTCTAAAAATAAATAACAATAATAGAATTTAAATAAACATTTCAAGATGTGTCAGTGCTCTCCAAGGCAAGCGTTTAAAGTTTACTCATGCTGCAAAATAAAATTTGATTCCATTAGTTTTATTGTTCTTTTGAATGTTAGAGTCTGGTTTTTATAACTGGAATAAAGTTTAAGTTCTTCCTTAAGAGAGGACAGATAGGCAGCTGAACACTGCAGGGGCCATATCTATATGGTGCAGCCTCAAAACTAGAATGTTGTGGTTCAGTCCTCTAATTTTCCACATTTTCACTTGAAAATTTGAAAAAGTCATTTGCTTCTCAAAAAATTAAAATGGTATTTTCCTTGGTCCATTTGTAAGATGAGAAAGAGACGTTAACTGCTGCCCTGGCAGAGAAATCTGAAATCCACACCACATGTCTTAGGGCCTGGATAGCCAAGAGACTCCCCTGTGGCACAGCTGAGCGGGAGCATCGGCCTTTTGTGGCTCTAGAGTTGAGAGGTTTGGTTGAGCAGCTTTTGGATAACTTGGGAGTTCCTGGTGGTTCTGAGTTAGACAAATAGATGTGTCCATATATATGTACTGTGTATGCATAAATACATAATCTGTATGCGTATAATGCTTTGGTATAGTGATATAATTATAAACAGCAATTTACCTAGCAATTAAAAATATATATTAGTACTGAGGTAGGCTAATTAATACTGAGGTAGGCTAAATTGTTATATACAAATACTAGTCTAATGAGTATCTGTGTACTTGATTCATAAAGATAATAAAGAAAAAACTGAATTCAGAGTGATGGGGGAGAACGGACTGTGATTGACAGAGATGAGTTATGGTAACTACTAGACTACAGAGGGTTGTAATTAGTCACGCTATGTTGGTTTAAATAGATTTAACACCTGGTTGTTAAAAAGAATAAATTGATTAATTGTTTTAAAGCAGCAATGTTATTGAGTTTCCCTTGTGTCTCTGTGTTTCTTAATAGAGATTAGACATTAATATGGATTTACAGCATTGACTCTAGGGATGTTCATTCCAACAATAGACAGAAGCAAGAGACTATATAAATGTAAAGGAAAGCATAAATACTCCAAATGCAAAATGATAGCTCATTTTAGTTTTATCTTAATTTGTTACATTAATGTCAGATAGATTGCTGTGTTGTGTTGTTAATTTGCAGCTTCTGCAGCAAGCAACCTCCTCCAGTAACTTGGGTGCCTTCAGCGGCATTCAGCAAATGGCCGGTAAGTTAAAAACCATTTCATTTTGCTCCAGCTATGTTTAGTATTCTTAAGCTATTGAATTCTGTACCTCTAATAATCACATTGTCGGGGGTGGGGGCATGTTGTGTATTAAATGTGGCAGATGTATTGGCAGGGGACAGCTCGCAGTTCAACGTCAATAGAAACACTTTCTCCCCTCTTTCAGAAACTGAAATTAAACCCAGTGCTCCCAGGTTGTGCAAACAGTTTGTCTTGCATTAGTCACCTGCCATTTGTCCAAAGTAACCAATTGTAAATTGCAGGAGAGCTCTTAGTCCCTGCAGCCATATCCTACCCTATGAAAAGTGTCAGTACAGCAACAGCAGGATTACATTCTAATTTCCAGTGAGATTTCTGTGTCCTGAAAAATCAAATTAATGGCAGCCCTCAAACATTTTAATAATAGGTGGTGAGTAAAACTGTTCTGACCTTTTTAATGAAACCCAAGATTACAGGCCTACCTTCAGTATGAATTTTCAGGCTCCTTTTATAATCATGGAAAATTAACTGGGTGCCTTTTTGACTTTGGAACCCTAGTTGACAAAATTACACAACAGAAGGTTTTATGTAAAAGTATAATCTTTAGTCTGGAGGAAAAAAGAAAGAAAGAAAAGAGGAAAAAAAATCAAAGTGTAAGCGGATTTGAAAGCCAGCTAGTTGGAGGGTTTCTTAGTAATGAGCTGTGTGCCAGTAGTAACTGATGTGTAGTGATTAGCAAAAGGTCACTCCCACTGTGTGACCTACCATGCTGATACCCTAACTTAACATGATGCTAGAGAAGACAGCATGTGCAGTAAATCAGAGCACAGATGCACATTATGCCTGCCGCGAGAAACTGTTAAAAAGCTTTTTTTCTTGTTAGAGGAAAAAAAAAAAAAAAAAAAAAAGAAGCACAAAACCCCTAAATTGCTACATTAGTTTATTTTAATCATGAAACCACTGAATCAATGAAATACAACATTGTGCTTGCTTCATCATCACAAAACAAGGGCTAAAATATTCAGAAGTCTTTATGAACACCATTTTCTCACTCTTCTTTTAATCCTGGTCTTTTGCTTCTCCTTGTTCTGCTTTGAATGAATCCTGAAATACTTTAACAAGTATAGATATACCGCACCGTATAGCTATACCCCACAGGTATTCTTTGCTCAATCGTTATATTATGCCATTATTGCAGTGACATCAGAGACTAATGTGAACCTGCTGTCTGACAATATAAATTGGCCTACAGATGACAATATCTCTGAATTATTCTCTCTTCCTCAGACCTGCTGGCAGTGCTTGCTGGTTCTATTATGTTACACTTGCAATCTAGCATTTTTTCATCAGAAAAATGTATCTTAATATGATAAACAGAACAGAGAGGTTCAGTAACAGTTTTATACTTGGCAGTTTTGGAAGTGGCTTTGAGCTCAGAGATTGTGTTTAATGTTTTCATATTTGGTTAGTTCTACAAAATGAAAGAATTGAGACACCAAGGAAAAATAATGTGATATCCATTGCATTATGTGCACCTTAGAAGTTTTCTGTTGCCTGTTTCTCACTGTTAGTGTATATTCAGCTTTATCTTCAAGAACTATGTTAAAACTAAGATTTTTAGTCAAGAAATTTCAGGATGGGCTCTCAATCTGGGATGTGATTCATTCTCTGAAAAGCATATGGTCTTGAGACGAGTAGAAAGTAATTTTAAGAAATCGTAGTGGCACATTATGCCTTCTTGACTACAGATAAATTGCTAATGCTCTCATCTATGGGATAATTTAATGACTGACTGCTTCTCCTGGAAAATATGTATTTTTTATCTTATATTCATGTTACCAAAACATCTTGAAATTTACTCCTTTCTTTCCCCAAAACATATCAGTCTTATACCTTGATGTTCAAATTAAGGATATGAAATTTCTCTCCAAGCTGCAGCTCTACATGAAAGTGCCAAAGACTGAGTGCTATTTCATCATTAGGACTGAGAGTTCATGTCCTCTCCTCAGAAATCATGCAATACCGTTATGCTGTACATCTAGTACTAAAGATTCATTTATAATGTTTTGTGAAAGGAACAGAAAACACTCCTGTGTCTGCAGCAAGATCTTGCATTACCTGCTGCAGATATCCTTGAATGTTTGTAAAGATCCATAGTTTCTTAACTTAAGTTGTATATGCTCAATTTACAAAAGTGAAACTAATATTTATTTCCATATTATGTGTAGCTTACCTATTACTATAATATTTCAAGGTGAGGAATAAAATCTAGATGCAATTGAATAAGGTACTAAAGAAGATCCATTACTGCAGCTTGCAAATTCTTTGAACTTTGAGTTTGAGGGGTCCAACTTTTATCTTTGAAGTCAATGGATGTGCTTACCACTGAATTCAGACACTAAAAGTTTGACCAAGAGCCACATAAGCCATTGAAAATTCACTGTTATATGTCAGGGCTCTAACATCTCTTTTCTGCTTAAGTCTTGATGAAGACCCTCAGTAAGTTTGCAGACAACACCAAGTAGGGTAGGAGCAGAGGGATCTGGACAGGCCGGATCAACGGGCCGAGGCCAATTATATGAGGTTCAACAAGGCTCAGTGCCAGGTCCTGCACTTGTGTCACAATAACCCCACACAATGCTACAGGCTTGGGGCAGAGTCGATGGAAAGCTGCCTGATGGAAAAGGACCTGGGGGTGTTGGTTGACAGCCGGCTGAATACGAGCCAAGAAGGCCAGTGGCATCCCGGCTTGTATCAGAAAGAGTGTGGCCAGCAGAACCAGGGAAATGATTGTCCCCCTGTACTCAGCACTGGTGAGACCGCACCTCAAATACTGGGTTCAGTTTTGGGCCCCTCACTACAAGAAAGACATTGAGGTGCTGGAGCGTGTCCAGAGAAGGGCAACGAAGATGATGAAGGGTCTGGAGCACAAGTCTTATGAGGAGCAACTGAGGGAACTGGAATGGTTTAGCCCGGAGAAAAGGAGGCTGAGGGGAAACCTTATTGCTCCCTGCAGCTACCTGAAAGTAGGTTGTAGCGAGGTGGGGGTTGGTGTTTTCTCCCAAGTAACAAGCCATAAACACAAGAGGAAATGGCCTCAAGTTGCGCCAGGGGACGTTTAGATTGGATATTAGGAAAAATGTCTTCACCAAAAAGGTTGTCAAACATTGAAGCAGGCTGCCCAGGGAAGTGGTTGAGTCACCATCCCTGGAGGTATTTCAGAAATGTGTAATGTGGTTCTTAGGGACATGGTTTATTGGTGGACTTGGCAGTGTTAGGTCTGCATTTGGACTTGATGATCTTAAAGATCTTTTCCAACCTAAACGATTCTATGATTCTAAGTCATGGTTTGCTAAATTAGGACTTCCAATACAGCCACCACCTTGACCAAATTTAGGGACTTTGGACGTGCAGGCATTTATTTGTACTGCTAAAGCTCATGTTGTTTCTGTACTGAACAGTAAGGACACAGCACACTCCCTGCTGCACATGTAAAGAAATATTTACCATACAATTTTCTTTGCTGGCAGAGCAAAGACACTGATCTTCAGAGTGAAGTTCCAAATTCCCTTTCCCTAATATCATGCCTCAGTCTACTTAAAATCAATTTTATGTGGCAAAAGTAAGGATTCTTTGGTTTTGTTGAAAGGAATGGGGTTTTTAGGCATTGCTGGTTGAAGAGTATTGGAGGTTTTTTGTTTGTTTGCTTGTTTGTTTGCTTGTTTGTTTGGAAGCTGGGGATACAATCCAAATAAAAATTGGGATTTTTCTCAAGAACTTACTAACATACAGACATTAAACACACAGAGCACCAGCTCCAAAAGTGAATGCTGTTCTTGCTGTAGCAGCCCACTGGTGCTACTGTATGTTCAGTATTGCCTTTGCCCTACATTCATAGACGACGTGAAGTCCAAGCAAATTATGAAACTGGCTCACCTAAAATTTGTGAGATATTAAAATTTGAGAGACAAAAAGTAGTAGTTTGTCATCTGGCTTTCTAAGCTTTAAGGTTCCACACTTGGTTCCCCAGTTTAGGTTTTCCTATTTTTATTGAAAAATAAGATTTTCATTAAATTGTTTTATTTCAGGATCCAGGCCAGAGAAAACAGTGTAATATGTCGAGACTCATAATAAAGTTGGGACAATTGGCAATGCTGCCTTTGGTATTAGAGCAATCCCCTGGTCTTGATTACAGGAGCTAACCCTACTTTGACAAATTCTGCTTCACTGTCCTTTGTGAAACATGCAAGGACATACCATCATCGAGTGTATGTTTTATACTGAGTATTTCCTCACTTTTCCTCCCCTCCTCTAATATCTGCTAAAGCTAATTTAGAGGCAATGTTTTCTCTCAAGCCTCAGTGTCTAGCCTGTGCTTTGCCTTTGGGGAAGGCTCATAATGTAGATGAATTACATTATGTGATTTGATTGTCTTACTTTAAAAAGACAATGCAAGCTACATTAAACATTAGCAACCTTTCAAGCAAAAAAGATTCCGCCTTCAAATATATACAAATTGCATGGAAAGCTTAGTTCAAAGGAGATTGGTGTCATTTGGATGTTCACATTGAATTTGTCTGGCTCTGGATCAGGTCCTAAAAGCTGAGTTATTTAAGCCAACCTGCCTGTTTATGGAGAACCTGGCAAGTACTAAATGGGGAGGGTTTGTATTACATAGGGTGATTGTAGAAAATTTAAATGTTCAAAAATATACGATCTATGAAGATTTTCTATTGTCCCTTGATATAAAATGTTTTGGCAGAAATAAATATTTGCTCACACAGAAATATTTCTATATGTATGACCATTCAGGACATATAAACATGTACAGTACTCATAAAAGACATAAAGGGACTCTCTTAATTTCATTGAACAGACAGTGTGTTTTGCTTTCTGAAGTCATCCAGGAGAAGAAACCATGGTTTTGTTTTTTCTTGCTTTGGCTTTCAGATCCCTAAAACCTCTATAACCGTGACTTCTTATATTTTTCCAGTGTATGTTTT